CGAGAGCTTTCTGCACCCTGCATAGACAGCAATGCAACTGAAATGTTCAAGGCCCAGAAAGGTAGTAAGGACATCGTTAAAATAGTTAAAATAGTAAAAACAAAATGTGTCAATTATGTTGCTGTCTATGCAGGGTCAGAAAGCTCTTGAATTTCATAAAAAATATTTTAATTTGTGTTCTGAAGATGAATGTAGGCCTTATGGGTTTGGAACTAAATGAGGGTGAGTAATTAATGACAGAATTGTCATTTTTGGATGAACTATCCCTTTAAATGCGCACAGACAAAAAAGTATAGAATTTAGTATTAGCTGTTTATCAGTTATCAGCCATAAAGTTGAAATAAGCATTGGCTTAACAGTATCAGCCAGAATCAGCCGTATCAATGAATCCCCAAAATATAATTATTTAATGCCAGATGTGTTTTTGTGACTTGTTTATCAGTAATAGCTGTAGCTAATACAGTATAGGTAACCCCTTGATATTGAGATCTTTTGGGAAATAATAGGAGGAACACAGTTGTTTTTCTCCCTGAGAGCGTCATACTTTCAGACACACAACTAAAGTCCAATCAGGCTATTCTCACGAGGGAGGAAGAGCTAAATTGGTATAAATAACTATGAGTAAGCCTTCTCGACCCAGTCCTGTCCTCACTCAGGCTTCTTTGGGAGAAGACTTTGTGTCTTTGTGCTCTTTCTGAAGACCTGAGACGACCGACATGGGCTGTGCTTATGTCATTGGGCACGAGTTGTTGGTTGTGTGCTCTGTTAATTGGTCTCCGGTGACATTCAGTACTTTGAACACAATCAACTCATGCATAAAAAGCACCTTGACTAAATAATTAAAAATCTAAATCTTGAAAGTCCCAAGTCCTAAAAAAAAAAATCTACTTGAATTCTCTATTTAATTGGAAAGATACAAATCTCATATAATAAAATTTAATCATGTGAAGTCATAAATTATTATCAAAAGACTTTCAAATGAGGATTTGGGCCATTTACAATGAGGCTCTATTTGATAGACCTTTCTGCAAAGAGAAAATGTCCCCTTTTGAAGTCTCGTGGATGAACTCTTGTGCCAATATTTTCATTCTCTTTCATTCTCTTTGCACATCAATGGATTGCTCTTTGGATCAGAGCCCATTATAAACACACTGACATCACAACTGACTTCAAAACCATCTTTAAAAAGGTTGCTATTTTATAGAATCCCAGTTCAATATGCAGAGACGTCTCTTATATGCCATTAGGAGGTTGATTTCTCCCCCAAATGTTAACACTATGAATCTGTGGCCCTAAAAATCGCTCCTATTGGTTAGATATCCCAACCATCCCAACCCAGCAACCTATAGTGTGAGTTTGGGGCAGAGCTAATTGTTTGTTTGACCAATTACAGATGAGAACAGATGCAACTAACATTTCTACATTTATGATAATATTGACAATGAATTTGCCTAATTTATTCTTAAAGTGCTTATTAGTTAACATTATAAGTAATTATTATCAACACAACGTCCGTAGCTATTTAGTCTGTTAACGTAATACATTTATACAACCCATTTCTATAAACTATAATTAAAATACCACATTGAAAAATGACTATATTATTAATCATGCTTCCAATTACTTTGGCTCATACATATGAATTTATGAAAAGATAAGTCAAGCAAGCATGACTCACATTTCTTCAGAAAATGTAAACATCATTACATAAAGTAATAAATGTATTATTATTAAAATTGTAAACAATTAAAATTGTGTTGTTTCAATGTTTATATTAAAGAATTGAATTTAGAAATAAAAAAAAGAATTAATAAAAGCTATTAAAGTACTTTTATACATGTATGTACTTTAATGAAACTTCACTGTAAGGAAAAAAAAAAAAAACGGAAGTAGAAAAACGTTAAAGGTAATTTTCTGCCAAGACATTGACCTTTACATTTATGGACATTTCCTTAAACCATACAACACAACACCACACAGTGCAATGCATAATTTAAAATACAGGTAAAACACCTGTGAAAAATCAATATGAAAAATCCCATCATATTAACATTGCATTATGTTTTTAGAGTTTAATAGAACATCAGGTACTACTGTGCAGGTAACAGTAGCAGAATCATATAAAAAAAGAAATAGGGAGCAGTTATAATGTTCTGATGGCAAGGTTTGATCATTACAATGGCGATGGTTATTTTTGTATCTGATGGTTCAGTTATTTAGAGCCCCTCTGTGACAAATGAGATCATTATCTCTGTGGTTGGGATGAATTACCTGTTGAATTACTTAACAAGTTAATGAGCAATTTTCTAAGTGCGTGGGCATGATGCTTCTCGCCCCACAGATATGAGAACAAATAGGAGTCATTACACAACGAATGGCTGACGTTCAGAAAGGACAAATGGGTTCACTGGCTAGTGTTTTTTTTTTAAAAATTTTTTTATTTTTTTTGTAAAATGACATTCAAAACATGTTTTAGTATAATTAGCTGAGTTTTTTTTTATTAATGTCAATTACGAGGTCACGTATACCGTCAGTAATCATTAACAGTGGGCAAGAAAGATGACTGAAATCTATCCATCACAATGGTATGATTAATTTCATACCATGAGAGTGGTATATATCACGATTTTGCTGCAAATTCAATGTAAAAAACATGTGAAAACAGTGAGTGCCCACAGTCCTGCCCACAAATAGCCACAGAAATGTATCTACCACGGCATAAACACTATAGCAGTAAATCTTGACCAGTTTACAAATGGTATAAACATACTGCTTCTTTTTCCTCATTGTTATTGATATACGAGCTTTGGGCTTGTCCTCCTCTGGCATAAAACCCAACAGAGTCTTGACTTTAGGTCCTGTGGTCTTTCTGAAGTCAGAGTATCAATTTAATGTTACTTTTGGCTCCAACTTGATGTTAAATGATGACTTTCACATATTCTTATGAATGAGTAGAGCTTTTCCCGTCTCCCCTGCTGAAATATAAATGCAACTGTAGTTACTTAAATGGATGAGTGGCCAAAGCCAATGAGCCGCACTGTTGTTAAATAGCAGAGGGAATCTATTCTAAGACTTTTCACAAAAAACAAGGCACAAAAGACACAAGTGAACTTGCCTCTTTTTGCCTTGTATTTCCTCTGGTGGTCAAAGAATGTGTATCTTGTATCTTACAGTATCTGTATTTCGGACTTCAGAGGTGCAGTGGCCTTTACTGAAGTTCCATCTAATTTATTGGTGTTCCTGTGGTGATGTGAATATCAAATGAGCAATTACAACTGACCTTCCTCCTGAAAATTGTCATCTTTCAGAATTTAGTGCGTTTTTCCTTTCGCCAACTGGCGTCAACATTTGACAATGCTTGTCGTTCTTCCTCCTATTTAAATGAACTTCCTCCTTTTTACTTAGTTTGGACTAAATGTGTATGGAAATAGCAAAAGAGAACGAGACCACATCCCTCACATGACAGAAACTGAATCCATCTGGGCTGGACCAGACCTCCCCACCTCCCACTGTTAATCTGGGCTCGACATCTTGTGACAACTGTGTGATACCACTGAGCCTAACAGTCAAACAGTAGTGGCCTTTTACAGTTTTGATCCATTTTAATTGCCAAGACCTTCAGCTTAGTCAGTTAGCATTTGATACCAGTCCACCAAAATCTCCTCGGAGTACAAATGGTAAATCCTCAAGAACAAGGGAAAGCGTGCCAGTTTAATTAATTTCAGTGTTTCATTAAAATCCTTGTAATTAAACTTACCCTGGTGGAACATAGTCTTTCCACACTCAGCATGCACAAAACACCCCACAAGCTTGCAAGCCAATATTTATACTCAAAAGAGTCATGCCCATTCACACTGAGGTGCATTCAGTGATACAACAAAGGCCTGGGACACACTAGACGATTTTAAAATCTTAACCGATTTTAAAACCATGGGAGACCACAGACATGAAGATAGTTTAAACCAATTTTTAGCCATATAATCCTAAAAAAAATCTAAAAATAAAAATATATTTAAACACAAATTTAGGTGTCACTACACTACACTAGACTCATATTCATTTTAAGATCTTCTAAAGATTAACAATGTTATTAAAGGGATAGTTCACCCAAAAATGAAAATGTGATGTTTATCTGCTTACCCCCAGGGCATCCAAGATGTAGGTGACTTTGTTTCTTCAGTAGAACACAAACGAAGATTTTTAACTCAAACCGTTGCAGTCTGTCAGTCATATAATGGAAGTGAATGGGAATCACGGCTTTGAGAGTCAAAAAAACATACACAAACAAAACCAAATTAAACCCTGCGGCTCGTGACGATACATTGATGTGTAAAGACACAAAACGATCGGTCTGTGCAAGAAACTGAACAGTATTTATGCATTACCGCCACCTATCTCTCAAATGGACCACTGACACTCTATCTGGTGGTAATGCACTTATAAGTCTGCGATCTGCCGTAAAGCAAGAAGAAGAAGAAGACGCGTCACGCGCTGGCTGAAGGCATCCTGAGCGCATTCGGACATTGAGGTGAATCAGAGGTAAAAAACTATATAAATACTGTTCAGTTTCTTGCACAGACAGATCGTTTCGTGTCTTAAGACCTCAATGTATCGCAGGGTTTAATTTGGTTTTGTCTGTGTATGTTTTTTTTACTCTCAAAGCTGTGATTCCCATACACTTCCATTATATGACTGACAGACTGCAACGGTTTGAGTTAAAAATCTTCGTTTGTGTTCTACTGAAGAAACAAAGTCACCTACATCTTGGATGCCCTGGGGGTAAGCAGATAAACATCAAATTTTCATTTTTGGGTGAACTATCCCTTTAAATTATTAGTGTTATTAAACACTATTGAATTAACAACTCTAGATCATTAAATGTAAAAACAGGTGGAAATTACCATACCCTATTAAATATTGTCCATTATATAAATTTATAATTTTGATGTCACTATCACTGTCATACATCCCTATTACTCATGGTTATACTTACATTTGACTTCCTTGAAAGTCTCTGAAGAACAAGCAACACACTCATTTAGTTTCTATAATAAGTAATAGTAGTAGTAATAGTGTTAATAATAAATAGTACTAAGTAATAGTAAGTAATCAGAATAATGCCTCAAGGTTGGCAAAAATAGTTGGCTTGCACAGACAAAGCAGCCACAGTTATAGTTCTTGCCAAGAGGAAGTGACTTCTTGTGGTTGTATGGATGTATCCCCAAGACAGTTTCTGTCATCCTCATATACTATTGCAGACCAGATAATAAGACTCTACCTACCTGCGTATTAGTAGCAATGTTTTTCTTCTAACATTATTAATACCTCAAATCTTGCGGCTAATTTTGGAGTTTACCACTACATGACCTTACTGGCACATGAATCACGTCTTTGCAGTCAAAATGGTTAAGGGTCATTGCTATTTGGGTAACTTCCACTCAGTTTTCTTAGTAAAAGAGAAGTTTAATTTGTTAATCTGCTCACAGAACATTTGCACTTCTCTTTACAAATGTTCAGTGGACTGGATACCAAAATGAACCCTCTTCCCAGTATACCTATAATGAGAAATGAGAGTGCCATTGTTCAATGCTCCTGGTTGATTGTATAAGTGTCCGACTTTGATTTTCTGCACAGCAGGGAAATGGAAAGAAGGGGGATCAAGGAGGAGGATATCTGAATTACTCGCTGTCCAGAAAAACATTTGCTTTTCTATTCTCCAGAGGATGTGGGTTTTATTCTGCATTTCTCCGTTCCCCGTTCAACCTTCTCCTTCCCAGAAACTGTAGAGTGGTTAATCACCCGAGACCAATCTTGTATTATTCAATATTCTCTGACAGATAATAGATTCAGTTTTTAAGGTCAAGTTGTGATTTAGCAAAAGCTATATTTCAGATCTGCTTCATAGTTTAGCCTTGTTTGGGAGGGTTGTTTTTAGAGTGACTTGAAGCCTTTGGTGGCTTTGATATTTGAATAGACATCTTCATATCAGAATGTCAATGAGTGTAGCAAACAAAAAGGTATGTGATCAACTGTCTCCTGGTGCAATATCAAAGCCATACTGAAAACAATGCACACAAGGGCTGCCAAATTAGATGTGGTGTAACATTATTGTGTAGCTGTGGTGTAACATTATTAATCCTTGAGAAATATGTCAGACTTGCATAGCATTCAGTTTTTTATGCCATTGATGGAATATAATACAATATTAAAAAATAATCCCATTAATCATCTGTCTCTAAAACAATATCTGGACAGCAGGGTAGCTGAAATAAAGCAGAATGTAGAATATTTATAAAATGTGGATTTTATAAATATTCTACATTCTGCTTTATTTCAGCAACCCTGCTGTCCAGAAATTAGCATTGTCCAATTAAAAACCCCTTAACAGCCTACTATTATGTATGTGATCAGTTGAAACACAAAATTCTTTAAGACAAATGGAATACAGCAAACAAATATAACCACATTTATTTCTGAAAGTATAAAATATTACACTATAAAGGCCACTTTGCAAGGGTAAATTAACAACTTTTCTAAATATGTACAGTTAATACCTTTTCCCTCTTAGATATTGTCCAGCTCGGTGGCAAACCGAAATGTCATTGTGTCACATGACCACAGGAAGTAGTTGGCAAGAGTTTCAAATAATTTACTTGTTGATAGCAGAAAATGAATGGCAGGAGTTTTGAAGGTTCCTGATTTTCTTTTTGTACATCCTTCAGAGGCATCAGGTATTCTGGATAGTTCACGCTCTCCCTTCAAAACCAGTGAAGAGGCACAGTTTGACATCGAATTGACAGGCACTATATGCCCTTGAACTGGGAGGCTTAAAAAAAAAAAAAAAAGTGAAAATTTGCAGTTCACATTCTTTACAATGGCACCAGTCAAGCATCCAGAGCTTTCTCTTGTGAAGTGAGACTCCCATGTTAGTTCGGCGTGTTTCGCTCACTGTATTGATGCACTTTATGAAGTTTCCTCGCTCTGAGTCTACCTGCGTGTACATACTTATTGTATCCGTACACTACCAGAGACGCAGTGTCAGATTGAGGTAGAACCGTTGTACCAAAAAACGTAGCTAGAAGTTTAAACCTATGAAGTAACAGTCACATCAAATCAACTCTATAGAGTGGATTCAAAGAGCAACCTAAAGCAATAAATTCACATTCAACCACACCTACTATAGATTTCACTAGCACACTGGAATATCTGAAGTGTTCCCAGAATAAATTCCTCCCTCTTTGCCCTTCCCTTTCTGGAAAAAAAAAAGGCTGCTTTGTTTTGTCTAGAGATGAGCTTTTTCACAGATACCAATATGCTGCCTCATCGGATGCTGCCGCCACAGGAGATTTCTCCTCTTTCTTTGTTTCAAGAGGAAACCATCTCAAAAGGTAAAGTACAAAGGTGAGCCAAGATCAACAAACAGCATGTTTATGTGGCAAGTGAATGAAACGATTTCATTAAACTCTTCTTTCCTGAAGTGAACAAACACACACACACACGTTTGTGTGGCCTTATAAATGTCTGGCCGATTTATAAGCCTTTTTAACTAGTGAGAACCACACAAATGTCCTCACTAATGGGTCATATTATTTCACAATATAAGTGAGGACATTTGGCCACCACAAGTATAGTTAAACAAGTACACACACACACACGTCATACTCGCACATGCACTGCTACAGCTCACTCTGCAGTTCAACAGAAAGGGAATAGATGCAGACGTACACATCAGACACGCACAAAGATCACACTCCGACACTTTTCAGTTCGTAACTGAACGTGTCACTGTTTTGCTGAACTGCGCTGAACTCCCTCTGCTGCGTTCTGTGCCTCTCCGCAAGGCTAGAATGGAAGCAGAGATTGCGCTGGAGTCGGGTGACTCCAGACCAGCTGAGGGCAGTCACTTTCTAGCTAGGCTCTGATCTCCCAGAGCCTTTTCGAAGGACTAGGACCATCCACCAGCTGCCATGCCACCCAAGCCCACTGGGGCTTTCTGGGTGATGATACTCTCTGTGGATTTAAGAAGTCTCTCTAGGCATGGCGCGTTAATCTTGGCCGGAGGTGGTCGACTGGGAGCAGACTCTGTCTTACATAGACGGTCCGTGCTGGAGGACACGGAGTTGTCCTGTGTCGCTTCCCTGTCCCTGTGGGATGTTAGAAAGTTCCGAACTGTCCCCTGAGCTTGTTCGACCATCAGGGAGCAGATAGGTGATGTGTGGAGCCATTTTAGGTTGGTTGCAGAGTAGGGCCCTGGGGGAGTGAGGTCGCTGACTCTCATTGCCTTGTTACCCATGGAAAGGGCACTTGTGGTGGCAGGATTTGCAATGCCAGTGAGCAGGGGAGATGTAGCTGGAGACAACTGTAAAATATTGAAAGAGGGAGAATTTCTTTTAAGATTTCAACGCAAATATTTGCAATCAGTTTTCTATGATTTTAAGACAAAGTTCAAAATAGACTAAAAAATATTTTTAAAAATCTCATTTAGAATGCATGTCCTAAGTTCTCAGCCTAAGAATGACTTTTATCTGTCTTGTGAAAGCTTTCCAAAATTACCTGTTCTGCTCCGTCATTGTTCTTAGCGAACATGAGATGTGCATTTTATACCTGTCCAACTGTAAAAATAGATTTTAATCCCTTCTTGTCTGTCCTGTTCCTCTCTGGTCCAGTGATTAAAGTATAATGGGTATTTCAGTCTCTCCTTTTCTCTCCTTTTTCGTCTTAACTTACACGTTCGTGACAGCTCTTCAAGTGCCTTACTTTGGGTTTCTTAGACAGGGTCGTCTCCTCCATCAGCGCTGCAGTGTTGGCTTGGTCGCTTCGTTGAGGTTTTATGTGAGGGAACCAGTTCTTCAACATTTCCTCCATTTTCAGGATGATGTTGACATACCTCTCTCTGCATGGCACAGGAAGGACAATATTTAAGTCTGGTAACCCACCGATGTACTAAAAAACAGTTTAGAGACTTGACGTGACAAAGTGAAAGTCTACTGTTCTGTAACACCTTGTTTGGTGTCAGACGAGTTGAAAGAACACTTAACCGCAAGTACGCAGCATCAAGTATACACGTACACACCGACACACAAACGTGTTTTTAAAAATGAGAACAGCTCCTGTGTTGATTCACACATGTTTGTGTACACACGTGGCATGGAGAGCAACCGTTTCCCTCGCCTCTAAATATAGACATAAGCCTGGAGCGGGGCACTGGCGTCCACGTCACGGGGACAAGAAATAGTTGCGCTAAGGAGCAGTGATGCAGACGCACGCACATGGTGCCCATTGACTCACACCAGCCCCCGACAGATGGTTAATGGGGATTAGTGCAAGTCACATGACGAAAGAATCTGCTATGGCCCCATTCTCAGTATTTTAAATTTAAACGGCTGCTGCCATAAAAGTTACTTTTATATTCTCTTTTCTGATGTGTCTTTGCGTTGTGGGATTTGCCAGCTGGCACAATGGAATGATGATGGGGGTCAGGTGGTGGGGAGGAAGCAACGCTCCCGCTTCGGTGCCCGTGTCTACTTGGCTCAGCGCCTCGATCAGATGGCCTGAATTAAGACCCCACCCAAAACCCCATCATCTATGTTTTTAGTGGCCCGTTTCAGGCGTATTTTCTGCCAGGCGGGTTTGCATGTGGCACAGGTTGCAACACTGCTGGATGCAGCCCAAAGTACACCAACTGTTCTAGACTCTGCACTCACACGTGAATATTGGACTTCGTGAAGTAGCACAATGCAATACAATGAGAGCAGACCTGGGCTGCGTGCCAGATGCAGTTAAGATGAAAAGTAAACGACGCACCTAAGCCCAGCCCGATCCATTATGAGGTCATTTGATGTAAGAGAACACGGACTCCTCCCAAAGATGACATCATAGTCTTTGCACTGTCTAGCCAGAGGAAGGCTAATCAATCGGATGACAGGCTACTCCCGCAAGGGAGCTGGGACATTTTTAACGACCTGCGTTTGAGTTCTATTCTTGTCCAGCCGCTTTTAGATTTGTGGTGGCAGGTCCGCACTGGCCCTGCGGCCCCCCTTGCTGCATCATGCTGTGAGGCCATGTGTTTTCACATTACCTTGACTCGTTCACTTATAGCCTCCGAGCCAGACCCGACCCAGGGCGTAAATGTCATTCGCAAGTGATGTGGGAGAATTCAACCTTGCCACTAATGTGCGTAAACACAAAGCACTGAAACAAGATTCCCTCACAAGAAGGTGAAAGTGGATTGAGGTAGATTAAGTAAATGGACACAACATCCATACGATCGATCCGTGATGGAGTGCTGTGCTGACTAAAGCCCACCCTCAAGCCGCCCGTGAGTGAGGTGAAGAGAAACAGCAGGAAACTCACCCCATGCAGGGATTCTGCAGGACCCCCATTATCCTCTGGATGCGGTCCATGGCCACACTCTCTTGAAAAGTGCTGAGGCCTGAAAAGAAGAACATACAGCTTAAATTCTCTCTTTTACAAGCAATGCCAGCTTATTGTCTCTGACAGGCCATGCTATGTCTGCAAGGCAGATGGGTTCTTGTGAAGCATGTGGCAGGACAGACTTGCTGTCTCTGTGGCCAGGAAGTCTGGTGTCGTCCATAGCCCTTGCATTGACAGCGGTCCCAGACAGAGCCCCTATAAGCAGGTCCGCCTTGTACGCAACCTGTTTTCTAGCACATGTGGGGTTCTAGCCAATAGAACTTTTAAGTACCCAATATTGCTAATACCAGTTGTTGGCGTTTTACAGTAATTTGTGTCTCAACCAGCCACTATGCATCAAGATTTCGGGAACAAGTTATTTTTCTGTCCGCACTGAAAGTGAAAACGCTGTGCAATGTAACAGTCAGTCAACCAGAATATTGCGTGGGTGGTTCTCTGTTTGCACGCTTAACACTAAGAACAGTAATACCATGCTTTTTTAGATGGCTACTACTTTCATGGTTTTACATTTTACTTGACTTGAGGGAACTTTGAGATGTTTCTTAACTTTTATAATTAGTATCTCCCTGTCTAGGTTTGATGTTTAATAAGGAGTGTGATATTAACGCGGTGTAAAATGGAAAATGAAGTGACCTACAAAACAGTGTCACCTGGCTAGTTAGGACAAAAACGGACAGCTTTTAATTACTCTTTGTCACCTGGTTAGGACACAGTGTGACGGTGCAGATTTTACAGTATTTTTATTAACAGTTACAACAGCCACATAAAACACTGAGTCAAATGTTAGAATATTTTATACCACTAGTCAGGAAAACAAAGGAGTCAGCAAATCCAAAACCTTGAGCTTATCTCTATAGTGCTTTTGGTATTTCAGTCGAGGTCCTTGGGTATTTTTGGAGGCGTGCGGTTTGCACTGCTTTAGACGTGCGTCTTTCAACCATGCACGTTTTATTATGACTAAGCGAGGTAGCATGTGCCACCAGGAAATGACTGTGGTTGATATGAGAGCCTCATTTCATGTATATTCATGATGCATCTCTGCCCCAAATCTCATGACACTTCTCGTACCATGGCCTGCTGCCTCTAGTTTGGCTGTTCTCTTGTATACTGAGCTAACTAGGTAAGGTTTTGGATATGCAGAAGACTAATATAAACGAATGAAGGATTACTCACGTTCTCGGTATCTGCCTGAGCGGAGGCCATTAAGGATCGAGGACAGTGGTTGAATGTAACACTGCAGCTCCAAGCACTGCAAAACAAAGAGCATCATTCAGTATTTCCTTGTTTAGCTTTTCACATTTAGCATTTCTCGAACATTTCTAGAGTTTTTGATGTTTTCGTTTCAGGATGTTGATGGTACACTATGTCAAATACCATAAAAAAAAAAAAACATCAAGTTAGGACATTTCCTTTGTACGGCTCATCATTTCCAGAAGAACAACGACACTGTGATACAAAACAAAGTGACTCATCTACTCTCTCACACATTTGTGCAAATGTAATGGAATGAGTTATCATTGCAATTCTACAAGGTAGAGGAAAACATTGAGTTTCTTCGTTCAGTGGCCTCGTGTGACTCATTCACATTTCACCTAGTAAGAACACACGAAGGAGGGGTCTTCCTGGAAGTGGTTTTGCTTTAGGGATGTAACGGTATGAAAATTTCATATCACGATTATAGTGACCAAAGTTATCACGATTATCAATATTATCACGGTTTTGTTCAAATTGATGCTGGCTGGACAGGATTTACCGCGAGTTTTCAAAAGCGCGATAATCAAACACTGTTTTGATGATAATTAAATTTTAAACGGTAATACTAACCGTCAGGGCATTTTATCGTGATTTATCGTGAAACCGGTAATCGTTCCATCCCTATTTTGCTTCGAGTATTTTTTTTTTTACATTTATTCTGCTCTGGTGGAGATAGATCATGTAGGAGATAAGGCTGCTTTTAAGAACACCATGTCCCTTCCCTGGCATGCCAACGAGTCAAAAAGTGGCACGTCTCACCTTGCAAGCGAACAGCCTGTCTTTCTCCATTTGTTCAGGTGTGAGCTGCCTCTCCCTTTGCTCCAGGACCATGGAGCTGCATGTTCTCTTCAGTGCCTGCCTCTTTTTGCCTACAGGGCTCTCAGGGCACCGGCTGTAATTGGTCCGAGCCTCTTGTCCCAGGTGACAATGGCCACCGTCTTCGCTGTAGTCGGAACTATCGCAGCTGGAAGGAGAACTTCCCCAAGAGCTCATGTTCTCTTTGTCCATTACCTCCCCTTTATCTCCATTCCTCTTTGAGAGTGACTGGCAAGTCTGGGTCCCCTGGATGACCCCCGAGGAGGGGGATTTTGGCAAGTTGGTTTGTCCTTGCGCTTTGGTACAGTCTGGTTCTAACTCACTATCGTTGTCCTCATCGTCACTGGCCAGCCAGTCAATGGAATAGTCCGAATCTGAAGCTGACATCTTAAGAAGCAGGATCTAACCAGCACGGACCATCACTGACCTGTGGGGGAAAAAGGGAGTACTTTAATCTCCAATTTCCATAAACGTTAATAATAAACACCATCACACAATACAACATGAGCTGGCATGAAATTACCTAATGGAGAAAGAATGTTCTGTCTTTCACTGTATTGGTTTGGCATTAATATAAAAGCAAAAACTCAACTGTCTTTTTTGGACCTATTTGCGAGATTCAAAGTCTTGCTGATACCAGTGGTCCAAAATGACAACGCAAGCAATCATCTTCAATCAAACCCTGAATTCACGTAGGCTCAGACCAGCATGTTTTCCAGACACACCACCTGAGTCTCATACAGACACTAAAGACAAACAACGGCCATAAAAAAGACTTACTGCCGTTTCACAAACAGTGACGAGAACTCACGAAACTGACATTTACAGTAAATTTTTATGTAGTCAATAACAACACCAATTCTTCTGTACATTAACAGAACCAAAACAAAACCTAAATAGAGTAATGTTTGTTTACACGTATACATGTTTTTGTAAAAAATTTGCCTTGTTCATGCATAATATGGTTGCAACAGGGGGAGACTGTCTTTATTTATTCAAAACGGAGATGTTTGAAATAAGATTTTGTTCTGCAGTCTGTTTGGAACATGTGTCCTGTGCAGCACATGCATTTGTTTGTTCTGATTGCACCTAATTGAAAAACACTTGAAAATGTAGCCTTACAGAACTAGAAGGCTATGATGAAGCAGGTGGCAAAAAAAAGCACACATTCAAAGCCCTGTTTGTTTATTCAATGAGACCCGAACGCCGCAGCCATGGTGACCACCATTTGACACAGAACAAAATAGGGCTGGACAATAATTCAATATCAATATGTATCGCGATATAATTTTTTTCAATAACGGTGATATGATTTTTAAACACATTTCCGATATTTCTATATACATTACCAGTGTTTCCCATACATTGATTTATTTGTGCCGTTTGACTTCGTTGAATAAACATGAGCACTGTACGTTTCAAAATCATAACACGGCGCGGGTGTTTTATATGAATCTATCTCTGAAGGGAATTGACTGTCTTCAGAAAAGTTTCGATGGCATTTTCATTTGATCTGATAAAGTAGCATTCATGAGCGGAGCTGCTTTGATTACAGCCATTACTGGAGAAACCGCTAGTTTTATCACTTTTAATGCATACCTGCCAGCCAATCAGAATCCAGTATTCAGACAGACCATGGAATATATATATATATATATATATATATAATTTATTTTCTGTTCTTTTTTCTTTCTTTTCTGCATTGTGACAACTATGGTACAACTTCATCCCCAAATTCCCACAAATTTTATATATATATATATACCTGCCCCTGCCTTTATTTTCACTTACAAATATATTCATTTATTGGATTTTGAGGTTTTTATGATTGTGACCTATGGACTGGACATTTGGGACTTTTAGCCCACTTTTAGGTCTATTGATTGTTTCGCAACTGTAAACAGACCTGTGTGGAAACTTATGCATGTACCACGAGCCAACAACACATGTGTCTAAAGAGCGATTCGGTGTGCACATTGCTACTGTCGCTCTCCGTATCACTGGATACCCAGGAGCCCCGTTGTGGGGCTTATTCTTACCTGCTCCTGACACACTGCAATGTGCACAGCTGGTCGTATGTGAACGAAGTCGAATGAATGAATGAGACTCTTGAATGAATGAGTTCTGTTTCTTGTTGGGTTGCACACGTGATGCCTTTACGCTTGTGCTGTTTTTGCACAGCCAGTGGAGTTTCCATGGTGAGGGGGGCAGGGCGGAAAAACATTCCAAAGTAGTTCTCTTGCTGCGTTAAGAATGTTGCACCTTCTCCAAAAGCCCCACAGCAGATGAGGTTGAGCGGCTATATTCCGTCACACATTATTCGGCACACTTTGGTCCTTTCAAACAGCATGAATGACACGCCAGGTGGTCTGCATCCACTGGTATTTTCACACTCATGCCGTGGTGTGGTGAGTAAGTTGGTGGCTGTGACAGTGAAGAGCAAATAAGGACTCACAATCGCTGCATCTCTCTGGGGGGTGGGATCTCTGGTTGAAGTCCAGACAAAGATTCAACGCCTGGAGCCAATGAGTCATAGTCCTCCTCCCCGGAAAACGTGAGCACATGTGAGAAAAAAAACCACCCAACTTCTGTCTCTCCTTTCGGCTTTGCACAATTGAAAATCATAATTGATGCGAACAGAATGTTTCTTCCATCTCTCTCCCCCTCTGTTCCGGCCGGTATTTGACAACCAGGAGAACATTAACAAAACATTGTGGGTTTTGAACCGAGCCAAAGAAGCCACCCAGATAGATTATCGACTGGGTGGATACAAACCGGTCTGGTTTTAAATTCAGACCATCTTCTTGGAACGGGCCTTTTTGTGGCCAGTAATGGCATGTTCAGGCCAATTTGTAAGGTTTGCTGTGACTGTTCCTCGATAAAGGTCTGTTCACATCAAGGGCGATAACGACAGCTATAAAGTTTAAATAATCTTTCTAATTCTATGAGAATAGTGACGTTCACACCACAACTAACAATAATGAGAGAGAGGACCACTAACGCTGAAGTCAGTTTCAGAATGTTATTTTTTTTCCAACTGATAAACGTTAAAAACATTGACAGCCAATCAGAACCCACTCAACTTTAAAGAGCTTGAACATTTAAAGCGGCAGACCACAATTCCAATGCATGCTTATAATAAATGTATCGTCCATTGGTGTGGACACTAATATCGTTATTGTTATAGTTATTTTATAATTATCGCACTAAATTCCATTCGATAAAGACAACTATAAAGCTTTAATAATCTTTCTAATGCTGAGAATAGTGACTTTACACCACAACTAACGATAATGACAAAGAGGAATGATAACGTTGGAGTCAGTTTCAGCATGAATTTTTCTCCAACTGATAAATGTTAAAAAAACATTGACAGCCAATCAGAATCCACCCGACTTTAAAGAGCATTTAAAGATGACAAAATTGCAGTGCACAGTTATAATAAACAGAATATTATCGTCCTTTGGTATCATTATAATTATTGCTCTTGGTGTGAATTCATAGCCATTCATAGGGTTTATTATACGCATGTCACAGATGATGACTTTTGTTTTATGTCTTACTGTCATTGCGAGGAGGAGGTGCAAGTGAGGCCATGGGTGTAGCTCAGCTGTGTTGCTTCTGTTTGAGGTTAGAGCCAGAGGCAAGGAATAATAACTCTATTTCTCACCATCATCCCTTTCGGTTGCGAAGAAGGTGTGCCTCAAACACATGCTGCTAAAAACAGCATCTGTGACCCTCCCATTTAGGCGGGAGACAACAACACTGATAACCTGCACAGTCACTATTGGCCAATACAATCTTCACTATCTTATACTTCTGTTATTGGAACACAGTGCAGTTGCACTTTACTCTAACATCTGTGGACAGAAGTTCATATATAAACACAGATATATGTGCACATTCTTTACCCATTTACGTGTCCAAACCACTCCGAGCAATGTCCAATGACGAGCAATGACGAGCAAACAACTGGATGCTGTTTACAGAGGGGATTTCTCAGACTGCTCTGCTTGGCTGCTTTACAATGTGCAATATGATGAGAACATTTAGTCCTATGCTGAACCATCATCACAGGCTAAACAAATGACACAGCAGTTAAGCTTGCAACTAGTGGGAATACTAGTCTAAAAAAAGAAAACCTGAAACATCAGTGCTGATTCCTATTCTCTCAGTTATTTAATCAGCGATGATATGTTTCTCCGAAGTATTTATCGAAGACATGTTCTAGTTTCTAAGTGATCTTATTAAAATACACATACAGAGCAAGCAAATAAAGAAATAAGATTTTTTTTTTCATATTGTGACATATTGTGCTTATAAAGAAAATAAAGACTTCTGAGTGAAAAAACAAAGCAACTTTTAAAAGTCTGGTAAAAGTCTATATATGAGATATTTGTTTGTGCTGCCTTTAATTGAATTATAATTTTTTTTTATAGTTTATATTATTATAATTAATATTTTAATTATCAATTTAGATTTTAATATTTTAATTAACTTTTTGGTTTTGATTTTAATACTGAAAATTCTGTTTAACAGTAAGAATAATGAAAATTTGCATTTGAAAAAAAAAAATCAATAATTACACAGGTTCATTGTGTTAATGAAAATTCTGAGAAAAAAATATGTGCCTAATTATCAATGTCTAAAATTAATGATCATCAAGATTTATTTTATTTGTTTTTTGCTTTTGTTTTGGGGTGAAATATGACCTAAATGTTTTAGCAATCATAACATCACCAAATGTTTTGATTCATCATTGTATACCTCTCACATTCATTCCAAGCATCAGATGTTACCAGTAGCTACATTCTTCACTCCTTGAATCACAGTTGTTTCAAAACGTCGTCATAGAGTGACTGCTTTCACAGTCGGTGATTGCAAGGTCCCTCGCACACTTGCGCGTGTTCTAGCACGTTTTCACTGGTCTCTCTGCTGCACGTTTTCATGCAAAGCAATAATGCTCAGCCCCTCATCCTTGTGGTAGGCCTGCGATGAGTCACAGGTGAAAATTGGCTTGGTGATTTAGAAACACTGTCTGACAAACACTGATGATTCAGTAGGATGGAGGGTTGCGGGGGAATGCTGGATTTCTCATTGCTTTTCTTTATTCCATTCATAAAAAAGAGAGAGAAAAACACTTGGGTGCCCACATCGCCTCCACCCCCGAATGTCATCTCCACGGGTGGCTAGAAATTAATCGCTGCCCTCTCTCTGGAGAAAAGAGTGGCTTTGTGGGTAAAAAAAAAAAAAAAAAAGAATCTCCCATCAAAACATATCCAGGTTGCATTCCCCCCCAAAAACATCTAATAATTAATAAATTAATTAACTATATTTATTTAACTATGCTTATACCTGTATATTTGCATAATTTTCATAACAATTATCTTCATCACGCCAAAATTCCATTACTGTAATATGCATATTATGTAAATTGAAATAAATACATTATAAATTATATTGAATTTGCATATGTATTAATGTATCAGTTTTTTCACTGGCTTTAATTTATCATTGTTTATAATTCACTAAATATATACTATTATTTAGAATTTACTTAAACTATTATTTACAATACTTTGTTTATTATTTTAAATTAAAAAAAATAGTTAGACTATTATATAAAAATAATGCTAAATATTTTACACACACACACACACAAACATATATATATATATATATTAGTGCTGTCAGACGATTAATCGCGATTAATTGCATCCAAAATAAAAGTTTGTTTATGAGTGTGTACTGTGTATATTTATTATGTATATATAAACACACACCCATAGAATCGGCATCTGTATCGGCCGATCACCATGACATCCTGATTGGAGCATCCCTAATATATATATATATATAATATAATTTTTTTTAATTTAATTTTATTATA